TGAGCACCCTGGAATCATAAGCTCAAAACGAAAAATTGAGCTGCCGAGTAGAGAATCCAAAATTCAAGGCACACTGACCGCAACGAAATTATGACGATTTCATGTGAAAAATATGATATTAATACACAAAACAAATTTGAATTAATTATAGCTTCTTGATGTTCATCATATTTCTGAAGTGGAGACATATGCTTTTGCAAAGTTACACTGCGATGATTTTGGCATATTTTGAAAAGCGAAGAAGGTGAAACAAATTCTTGCTCAGCCGCCCGGAGCAAAGACCTTGAGGACGGCCAAGAAAGACTGGGGCAAGTGTCCTAACAAACTCTGTTCTCCAGACATTGGCTTAGATGCTTAGACGCTGGCACAGGATTGGGAACGTGGCAGATATTGCAACCTCCGCTACCTTAAAAGGATAAGCGATCATCGAAACCGACTGGTTTATTGACTGACATGCACTCTCCCCAACACAGTACTGTCATCAGGTTTTGGAGTATTTTTCAGCATATTTTGAATGGTTGAATGGCCGCTCCCTGTAGGAAGCCTGCACGTCAATTTGGCAGTAATTGCTTACAGTGGAGTATCAAAACGTTCTACATAATACATGAAGGCTATGTCCACTGATATGTTAATTCATCAAGGAATAAGTAGAAAATGCTCAATTCATATGGTCTTGTGCCAGCATCAAGTTAATCAGTTAATCAGTATCTAAGGATTGTTCCACTATTGCAACTTGGCAGTTGTTGTTGCCTAAGGAAATAACCTAATCGTTATCAACCCATGCCCTTGCAGGTCTGACTTTGTTGCAGTCAAGAGAAAAGCAGCCTTCTCTTTTGTATTAGATTGATCAACTGGGTTGAAAAGGTATCACCACAATAACTGCTCGACTAACGGCTCTTTGTGTTTACCTTTCCAGAGTGGCAATCCCTTGATTCATGGTTCAATCCGAGCTGGCTGAATCCAAGGTAATGCTGCAAATTTACTGGAATATTCCTGCGCCTGTTCCTACAGTTAAACCTCGTCACTGTTGCCTGCATGCTTAAGTTTTGGCAGTGGATTTGATGTAGACTGAGTCTGAGGCAATAACGCTATAAAACCGCATATTACAGGTCCGGATTAATAGCAAATTAGTTTCAGCTCATACCGGTATGGACGGGCGGATTACCACTCTGGTAATTGGCATATAGCTGATAGATGAAAAATTTTAAAAAGTTCTTTATGGCACCCCTGCTGCTTTTCATGTCACATCGAAAATATGGAGACAGTCAACCTCAAGAACGACTCGTTCTCATCATTGCTAAAGGCTTAAGAAACACATCGCTCTCGTTCGCCAAACAGTGAGCAGTAAATTGGTTGCTGATGTGAAGTGTAGCGGAAAGAAACAGTGGAACGGAACTTGGATTTCGCCCTTACGTTGACTCAGTCGTCAGGTTGCCAAAGAAAACAGCGGCAACCAACGCGAGTTCGTTCCGCACAGCCGGAGGCGCAGACAGACGTTTTTGCAGCATCGGCCACGCATCGACGCGCCTCTTCATCAAAGCGCATTAACTGACCGATTACGGTTGGTTTCAGCCGATCTTCTGTGCGCTTTCGTGATAAAAAGCTTTCGCATTTCCGTTGCTATGGAGACACTCTATCCGCATCATTCCAAGAAGCTTGGAATAATTAATGACAGTAAAGTAAAGCAAAAACAAAAGAATAAATATAGGGGTATTTTATCAAGTTAATAATTTGCATAGTTTATTGCCAATTTTACTTCAAAAGTGCGTAAAGTCATTGTTAAGTAACAAGCGGATATAAGCATCAGTTTAACTTTAAATTTTCGTCTATTAAAATTTCCTAATATTGGACATCGGTTAACAACTGTTTTGACCCTTGACAGCAGACATGTAGTCAACTTTATGCGGTTGCGATTCGCGGCACCTGCAACCCCGCCGACAATCGATTATTGAGCGGAAGTAAAGTTACTGTAACTGCTCATAGCGCACGGCAAGACTTAAACAATCGTAGTCGCTGGAGCTGCATACTGTAACAGCACGTTTTTATGCACAGAGCACATTAGACATTTTGAGCGAAGGTTGCCATGCGGCGCTATTTACGTCACTGGTGACTAACCTGAAAACTAGTAAACACGCGGATTGTCTTGATCGGCAGCTGAAATCGCTGACGAAGTCGCTGTCCCACCAAACTGGAAGGCAATTTAATGACGTCATTCGTTCAATTCCTTCTATATGACTGGTTTTCATCGGCAGCCGCGCCACAGACTCATGTCAACGTTCCACCACCCTTTTGTGTTGTGTCCTTTCCTTCTACAGTTGACAAGACAGACTGTCATGGAATTGTCCCAGGAAGTTGTGTGGAACAGTGGTTTGACCAAGTGGAGTCGGCTGTCAACGAGGATCCGGTTAACAAGTTGGGATGTTGATTAGTAACATGATTACTTTCTGAGTAGTTTATTGCCTACTACGTCCTTGAAACTTTTGCCGTTGTTCTTAAACGTTAATTTGACGAAACGTAAAATTTGACGAAATTATAAATCACTGTATTTACCATAATTTTAAGCTCAGTTATTGATGAGGATCATCAACACACAAAGTTTTGGAAGACATATTATGTAAACAAGTATTGAAGAGCTACCCTACACCTATTTCCTTATCACCACGGATCAGCCGGTCGTATTCACTCTTATGTCTGTGTGACAAGGTGTTGTCTGACGTCGAAAAGGGGATCTGCAGAGCAGAACAACACGTCCCAACGGAAGTTCGAACAGACGCCTCACACATCGTGAAATGATGAGTGGTCGAGTGACGGCCTGTCGGCGAAGCGGACGCTTCAGGTGGCCAAATTGGTGACTTTTGACAAGTGTGTTTTGATGTCACTCGCTTTTCTCGGCTACAGTATTTACAACAATGATGTTTGGCTATGGTGTGAAGAAGCGGTTTATTGACGCAGGCAAGTTAAAGAGTGAAGCAGAAAAAAGTAAAGACACAGTATATACATTTGGATGAGCTGCACTGAGGTAACGTACGTTTCAATTACTAATACACCAGGTATGCCATGTTTATACAAGATCACAGTTGGCTGCCGTTGCCGGCACCGCCACCGGCACAGCCGTTGCCATCACTTTTTCCTTGGCGGTAACGGAGGCGTTGTCCAAACTTTCGCTGTTGTTCGAAACGTCTTTGTGTTCCTTCTTCGACTTCATTCGTCGGTTCTGAAACCAGATTTTCACCTGTCGCTCGGTAAGGCATAATTCCTTGGCTATTTCTTGCCGACGGCGTCTCGTCAAGTATCGATTGAAATGAAACTCCTTTTCGAGTTCGAGCGTCTGTTTCCGAGAATACGTCTGCCTCGTTCTTCTTGGCTTGTCATTTTTCTCTGAAAAATCATCACACCATGATCATGTTCGAGCATTATGAATCCAGATACAGAGTTTGTTTAATGTCAATGCCGGGCGAGGAAAGTAGATCATGCCGTCTTTACGTCACGGCATCTGTCATTGGCTCAACTGTGATCCGTGGTGGATCCTCATATCACATATGCAGATTCAAGTAATATATGGTGATATATGCTTTCGCTCTCAATGAGGACTTTCTCATGGTGTTTCAGAAAAATTTATGCGGTCGCGCAATAATTCGTGGTTGTTTCTCTACAAACATCATGAGCGCCTTGTACGGCCGACTATGTCAAATACGGAATAATTTCTCCAAAACCAGGTCTCACGGTACATTGAATCGCCCCATTGCTCCTAGTTTCCTAGAGGCAATTTAAACAGTCACGGTTCTGTGGCATTTGAGTACCTACAGCACTGCAGGGATTGCAGGAAAAGAGGGAAATGCATTCTCGACAGATCTAATGGTAGTAATGAAGCTTACTATGCTTCCTGGATTTGTGAATAAATGAAGGGTCATTAAGAATGCTTGAGGATGTGGTGTCCTTTCTTGACCTGATTCCAGGTGTGTTTAATCACATCCTACTAGCATAAGTCCTGGAAAACTAGGCAAAAGGCAAATGTTCCTCACGATTTCTTGCTCACATATGTATGGATAGC